CTGATCGAAACAAATTAAACCCTTGTGTGTTGTTCTTTTTGTCTCTACTGTATTTGTTTAGTATTTTGTTACTCTCTAGTAATTGCAGTACCATTAAATCAAATATACAATATTTCTAAAGAATAATCATTATCATCATGAAAATAAAAAAGGAACATAAGAAGATGAAGTTACTATGAAAATTGTGTAATTTCTAGGTTTATATATAGGCATGAGATATTGAATGTGATTGGATAATATTCATAATTAGAGTTTAATTAGGATTTTAATTGTGTTACGGGTGCAGATGGGTTGAATTTGTGTTATGAATTTATTTCTTTACATAGGCATGATCTTTGTTGACGTTGATTGTTTTGATAGGAATTTCAGCTTCATGTTGTTAGGAAATAAGCGCGGTGGAGTGTGCTCTACTATTATGCATGATTAGTTAGCTCTTTTTATTTGTACAGGTCAGTGAAGAAGTGAAGCGTGCTCTAGCAAAGTTGGGTCCTGCTAAGAAGGTTGGAGGCAGGTACGAGCTGTGACATTTTCATTGAAAGAAGCTGGAATAGTTCATATTTCTACGATGCTTACATTTCAAGGACATTTCATATAGCACGTAGTTAATCTATACCTTTCAAGTTAGAATGGAACTTTATATATCTTTGTGGGCATATTTGTTAATTTGGTGTTGCAGCTAACTGCTCCAATTTACACATACGACGTGAAAGAATGACGCATGATCGTCTTTTTTGGTTCCATAGGCTGTTGGTTGCTGCATATCATTGGTTGGTTTATTCAATATTCATGAGATTTAATTCGATTTATGGCTCTTCTGGTGTATCTTCTCCTCAACGATAATCACTGGAAGATTCTTAGCTAGGAAAAATATATGATGAGATTATCAACTTGCAACATGTGTTATGCTAATCCTCATGCTTTTTTCAATGAGCTGAATATAAAGATTACGAATTTATTTTTTTCTCCTCAAAAGTTTGTGTTAGTTGCAACAATTTTTTCCAGGGATTTGTTATTAATCTATTAATGATTTTATTAAAGTTATTATAACAACGTTTTTTCCAAAATAACAATGTCATTTCCCATCATTAAATTAAATTTGAAAATTGTATTTTGATCATAAATAACAGATATCTAATAGCTTACTACCACATATTTGCTCTAACGCAACAGTTCTAGTGCAACGCTTATGACCGTTGCGCTAGATATCTATGGGGGCGGTTTTACAACACTTTAACAACGGTTTACAAAAACCGCTTCGCTTAGCCCAATAATTTTGATTTGGGCCGATTTTATAAGCTGGCTTGGGCTTTACACTGAAACGAAATCTCATTTGTTTCTCACCGCTTTACCAAATATCCCTCTTTCTCTCTCACTCAACTCATCACCCTTTCTAAAATCCCCCTCTTCGTTCGCTCTGAGAGATCGCCATGGCCGAAATTCGTCGATCTCATTGCTTAACTCGTCGCTAATCTCTTCGCCGTTTTTCGATCTCATCGTCTCCGATCTCAGCTCTGATTTCGTCGTCGATCTCGTAACTAATCTCTTCGTCAAGCTGCTGGTCTCGTCTCCGATCTCATCTCCGATATAGGTCGTCGTCGATCTCTGATTTCCCCCTAATTTAGTTTCATTTTCTGTTTAGATAATGTGTTTTTAGCTGGGGGTTTTGATCACGTGTCATAGTTCCTTGCAGTACCTTCGATTGAGTGGAAAGAAGCTTACGTATTTGGGTCTGTCTTGAATTTTAATGATTTCGAAATGAGTAAAAAGAGTTTGCGAAACAAAGATTTTACGTTTATCTCTTCAGCTGTTAAAAAAAATGGTCTGCTATTTCACCTTGAATCGGTACCAATTTGTTTTGTGTTGTTTGATTGTGAATGTCTTGTGCTTATCAATCGTGGCCCTTTTGATAGAGAGACTTAGGGTACCTTTTAATTTCGCTTGTTCATTGCCCGTGAGAAGTCGGCAGTTGTTGATTTTGCTCTCTTTTTAACTATAGCGTTCATGTGTCAACCCTTTATCGGGTTATCTACTATACTTTAAGCTGAAATATTTTGGTAAATGCGACTTTACGTAGTTACGTGTTCTTTACTTATCAAATTTAGTAGTGTTGAAGTTAATCTTTAAAAGCCATACATGCATTTTTATCAAATTTAGTAGGCGTAACAGCTTTTGTGTTTCCTCGCTGTTAAGTTTATACGACCTTCTTGATATATAATTTTTTGCATAAGAGACTTTGTTTCTGTATATATAGTGAATTTCTGTGCTGAAAGCACAGGGACTATCCGCCTCTTTTATCCGTGCCGCTGATTTCTGCCATTTTTTGTGGTTGCAGTTATCAAGACCTTGATGCTCCAGATGATGAAGTGACTGTTATAGATTACAGGAGTCTGTAGGGTTTTTATGTTTGTCGGATCTGTTAATTTCAGGAGCCAAATTAGTACAGTGGACTTGGAATATTCTCCGTGAGGCTAATCCCAGAGATTTCCTGGTATTGTACTTTACTGGTATTGGACTTGGAATATTCAGATATCACTGGTATTGATTTACGTGATGTTGAGCAGTTAGATATTATCTTGAGGCTTGCAAAGTTGGATCCCAGGGTGTCTTATTAAACTTTCATCTAGCTTGGTATCATATAAGCTCAATCCTGAACACCTGACACTTCAGTTTTTATTATCTATTTTTCGTGTATCTAGTACTTATGTGATTCTTTTCATTTATTACTAGTTAATCACTTCTCTTTGAGCGATGGAAACAGTGGGTGATTCTAGATCAAGTTCAAAAGAGAAGAGATCATTTGAGGTAATTTCAAATCTAGAATTCTCAATCCTAAATTCATTGTTTGGGAAGCATCCATGTAATATTTGTCACATGTGCAACTTGAAACAACATACTTTTTTGTTAAATCGATATGATTTTAACGTGACGTCTCATATTGTGTACCTGATGTTTTTAATATCCATTCGATTATGAATGGTCCATGGATAAATAGCATTTTAGTAGAGCATCTTAGTCCAAAGTTATACTATGTCATTTACAGTTGTATGCTAATTAAGTAGTTTGCATTTATCATTTTATATGTTTTAACTATCAGGGTTTCCCTTGTTCAGAATAATGTTTTTGAATGAAGGCCACCATATACATACAGAGTTACATGTATCAATTAACTAGTATAGAAGATTTTAAAAATAAATCTAAATGACTGCTTAAATGTTTATGCATCAGCTGGGCGTTTGGAGTTTTTGGTTGTGTGACTGGCTTAAAAGCAGTAATCTGGTTACTAAGAATAATTATATGAACAGTCTTATTTCACTGCCATATTACAATCATAATATTAAGATGAATACTATTTTGGTTCAGCTATACAGTAAGGATACAGAGGATGTTACAGTATACATTGGAGATGAATCCATATCTCTACAGCTTGAACAAGCAATAATTAGAAAGGCATAATTAACATTATGCCAATAATGATTCTTCATATTTATACAATTGTCATATTAAGGTGAACTTTTATTATTCTAAATGACTGCTTAAATGTTTATGCATCAGCTGGGCGTTTGGAGTTTTTGGTTGTGTGACTGGCTTAAAAGCAGTAATCTGGTTACTAAGAATAATTATATGAACAGTCTTATTTCACTGCCATATTACAATCATAATATTAAGATGAATACTATTTTGGTTCAGCTATACAGTAAGGATACAGAGGATGTTACAGTATACATTGGAGATGAATCCATATCTCTACAGCTTGAACAAGCAATAATTAGAAAGGCATAATTAACATTATGCCAATTATGATTCTTCATATTTATACAATTGTCATATTAAGGTGAACTTTTATGTATGATTCAAACATTTGCAGATATGTTGAGTGAAGTAACTGGACGTCCAGTTAGTCCAAGCTTTGTTGACAGGTTTAAAGCGCGTACTAAACTTCCTGAAGAGGCTGCTAGTGTTCTAGATCATGAAGAGGCAAGTACCTTTTACACTTCGACATTTCTTAGCCTTCTTAGCTCTTGAACTGGTTTCTGTAGTTTTTTCTTGACTCGTTTCAGTTACTTCTTCTTTTTCCTCGTTGCTTTCTTCTCGCTCTATGATAATACAAAGGGTCTATCGACAATTAACCCCAAAATATTCATTCCACTATTGTCAAAAAAATCCACTATCTGCATATTCCTCTTCATGTTAGCCATGGTTACATGTTCACGCAAAAATATTGTAGCGACATATAATCAGTTATGGAAATTGATGATTCTGCATTTACATGAACTATATTATCACTTGTTTGAAAATAGCAAAGACATGCCGGTTTAAAGATTGATAGAGAAATAAAATGCCAAGGTTTGATAAAAAGGTTGTTGACATTTGCCAATTCGTGATGGTCATTCAGTAATATAAGTGGGAAAACATCAGTAGATGATTGGTTGGTATTTTACATGGGAGGCAGGTAGTCTGGAAGTCTTTGGAGCTGTCCAAACCATGAAATACTAACATCTTCTCTTTTATTGTTCCCTAGAGATGTAGTATTAAAGTTTTCTTTTCGTATCTGGAGACAAAATGCAAAAGATATTTGCTATCTTTAGGGGTTCCCTTACTAACTTAAACTGTGATTTGGCAAGTTTTTTTTTGTTTTTGCAAATTATTTTCACTCTGAGGAATGCTTTACCAATTCGTAGTTATTGAACTAGACTATTGTTCCTTTCTGGAGCGCGCAGTTCAAAACTTGGATCAGATAGAAACTGAGATATCAGTTTTGTGCTTGAGATCCATGAATTGAGGTATCCATTGCTTATTTATTTTATCTTTTTCCTGTTGAGATATCTGCATTTTGTTTAGGTGCTCGTCTAATCTCTTTAGCATGTGAAAACTTTTCTTGGATTTTGGGTACTGAATACGCAATTCTTTTCTTTACACTTCTTTTTGTTTTGTTTTGTGGGAGTGCAAAACTGACAGAAGCCCTACCTTAAAAACACTAATTTACAAATACACAGTTTCCACACAAAATATTTGATTGCATAACATGTATGTAGATATGATGTTTAATCATAATGACATTTTATTTTTGTTGATATTTTTTTGTCAAATCTTTTGCAGAAAATGGTTATTTGTAGTTCAAAAAATGTTAATGAAAGTCCCTTACTTCCATGCAGGAATTGTCATTTGAATGAAAAGCAAAAGGGCTTGTTTGATGGAGACCCTTAGCAATTTTAACCATAATGACATTTTATTTTTGTTGATATTTTTTTGTCAAATCTTTTGCAGAAAATGGTTATTTGTAGTTCAAAAAATGTTAATGAAAGTCCCTTACTTCCATGCAGGAATTGTCATTTGAATGAAAAGCAAAAGGGCTTGTTTGATGGAGACCCTTAGCAATCTGTAGCCACCTATTTTACTCAAATGGAAGGTTTTGATGCAGGTGGATTATTTCCTTTATGTTAAGCTATTTATTTTGAATGATTGCAATATCTTTTTTTCCCCAATTTTATTATTCCCCAATATCTTTTGCAGAAGTTTCTGGTTGGTGTTATCTTGATGCTCTCTTGTTATGCCATTGAATCGGTATTGTTTCTGCTTCCAGATATATTTATCAATTTTTGTATCATATGCAAACTATTTGAAATTAGTCCTTCAAATTATTTAATTGCTATTTGGTCCCTTTTTTAAGCTATTTGAAATTGTAACTATATCGAGTTGAACCCAAATTCTGAAACCGATTTAAGCTATTTGAAATTGTAACTATATCGAGTTGAACCCAAATTCTGAAACCGAATAGGATAGCTAAATATCTGTCTTAAATTGGAAGCTTTATTTCCAATATCATTTATATTCTGGAAATATCTAATTTGCCTAACTGAACTTTTTTTTCTAGCACTTGTACAAGGGATTTATTCTTACTGATTACAACTTCTTTCGTGTAGCAGTGTACTATGAAATTTTATGCTGAATTTTCTTTTTTATGCTGTAAAAAAAGTAGCCTTCTTAATGAACTTTTTGCTATAAATGTTTGTAACACATCATCACTTTCTTTGTCCTGTGATTCGGTATATACATGTAAATGTTTCTCTGCTTCTATCATTGGTTTATCTCTAGCTATTATATGTTCGTAACTATTATATGCATCTGACTTGAAGTTTCTATCATTATAGGCAGGCCAAGAATCCTTCAGATCCATTACAAGATCCTATTACAGAGGAGCTGCAGGCGCACTATTAGTCTATGATATCACCAGGTATTTATTTTTCAGAAATGTTCCCATGTCGTGCACTTCCTCTTCTCTATAGTACTTATTTATACTTACTTTTGTGTCCAATGTCAGGAGGGAGACTTTTAATCATCTGGCAGGCCAACATATCACCTTCCAATTTCAGAAGTTTCATGTTTTGTAATCAAATGTTGATGTACATTGTTTGAATGTTAGTTCGGTACGATATTTTCTGAGTTGAAATGTTGGTAGTGTGGATTTAATACTTTGTAGTTTTTATACTATACTGATGTATGTTGGCACTTATCATTATGGTTGATTATGCTCAACATAATCACTTTTATATTGTGTATTAAAATTTGACTTGGTCATGTTCTTAAAAAGATTGTCCAGGTAATTGAATACTATAATTATTTTGACGTAGGAAACCAAGAACAGCTTTGATTGAGCAGTTGCAATAGCTCGATTAAAACCGTTGCGATAGTTCGATCCAAACCGTTGCGATAGCTCGATCCAAACCGCTGCGATAGCTCGATCCAAACTGTTGCGTTAGGTCTTTTAAAACTGTTGCAATAGCTCCAATTGTTGCCATAGCTCTATCAAAACCATAGCTATAGCCTACTAAAACCGTTGCGTTAGGTCTTTTAAAACTGTTGCAATAGCTTCAACTGTCGCCGTAGCTCTATGAGAACCATAGCTATAGCCTATTAAATTAAAACCGTTGCGTTAGATGCAGGGGCAACGGTTCAAAAAACCGTCGCAGTAGAGTTCAAAACTGTTACGGTAGAGGTAGGGCAACGGCAGTATATGAGGCGGTTTGAGAACCGTCGCGCTTGCTCAAGGGCGACGGTTCCATGGCTAACGCAACGGTTTTGAACCGTTGCGTTAGAGCATATATGTGGTAGTGTTAAAGGGTAATGATTCCTCAAAAAGCAATTTCCGAGCTCAAGCGGAAACTAAGGCAATTGCTTGAAGACAACATAAAATAGTCAAATGAAGTTAATATCTTGAACAAGTCCAACTTATTATATAATGGCTCCCTGCTAAAATCAATGAGACAATTGGCAGTGTACAATGTTATTGTGCTAAATTATTATTATACTCCAAAAGCATGAGAGAGGATAAAAGTCACACAACAAAGCATGAATATGTTGGGGATGCACAATCCCCCTGATGCGATTTGGAAATAGAGATTTAGGAGAGAAGAAAGAAAATCAAACAATCTCAAACACACAAGATTTACGTGGTTCGCTTCTCAATGTGAGAAACTATGTCCACGGCCGTCGCAGGAGAAAAATTCACTATTTTTCGTCTTCTTACATCATGCCCTAATCAACCCTTTTATAGACTTAAGGGTTTAACCAATAAAAAGGAAACATAACAAAACAGGTTAAAATTCGAAACTGGGCCAAAACCCGACTCTGGTCGACCGCCGCATCACGTGCGGTCGACCGCGACGAATCCTATTCCTGATTGAGCTCTCTGGACTTTGGGCGGTCGACCGCAGCGCCATGTACGGTCGACCGCAAAGCTGACTGCAGACTGAGTTTGCTCTCTGGACTTTTGCCGGTCGACCGCAGCGCCATGCTCGGTCGACCGCGATGAGCTCCTGGCCTGTGCACCCAGCTGTGCATGACGTCGGTCGACCGCCGCGCCATGGCCGGTCGACCGCGATGCAGAAAACTGTCTCCTTCGTCATTTTGCTTGAACTTCTCCATCGTTGATCCTGTTCCTCCTGTTCCAACTTTGTTCCTCCTCTCTTCTGAAGTATAGGGCATGCTTGATAGTTAGCTGTGCACGACGTCGGTCGACCGCCGCGCCATGGCCGGTCGACCGCGATGTAGAAAACTGTCTCCTTCGTCGTTTTTACTTAAACTTCTTCATCGTGGATCATGTTTCTCCTGTTCTAACTTTGTTCCTCCTCTCTTCTGAAGTATAGGACATGCTTGATAGTTAGGCTTCACATATCCTAACAATCTCCCACTTGGAGACTAACTATCAATCTCTTTTAGCTCTCTTGAATCTTCACAAGTTCCAACATGTCCTCGTCCAACGCTGATCTTATGAAGTGGTAGCGGACCTGTATGTGTTTGGTCCTTGCATGAAAAGCGGGATTCTTTGCCAAATGAATTGCGCTCTGGCTATCACAATGTAGGACACTCTTCTCACTTTTCTATCCCAGCTCCTCCAAGAAACCCTACAACCATATCATCTCCTTGCTTGCCTTTGTCACAGCAACATATTCAGCCTCTGTCGTTAATAAAGCAACGATCTTCTACAACTGAGAAACCCAACTAATAGCTGTAGAGCCCAAAGTGAATACATATCGATAAAGCAACGATCTTCTACAACTGAGAAACCCAACTAATAGCTGTAGAGCCCAAAGTGAATACATATCCTGTAGTGCTCCTTCTCTGGTCTATCTCACCAGCATAGTCTGCATCAACAAAACCCTGCAGGACTAACTTGTCTCTCCTGAAGCATAAGCAATCTTCTATAGTACCTCGCAGGTATCTCAGAATCCACTTTACTGCTTCCCAGTGCTGCTCTCCTGGATCTGACATAAATCTGCTCACAGCTCCCACTGCATGGGCAATGCCAGGTCTCGTGCATACCATGGCGTACATAAGGCTTCTGATGGCTGAAGCATAAGGAACCTTAGCCATGTAATCTTTCTCTTCATCAGTCTCGGGGCACTGCTCCTTAGTCAATCTGAAATGACTAGCTAACGGTGTGCTGACGGCCTTAGCACCACTCATCCCGAATCTCTCAAGCACCCGTCGAATATACTCGGCCTGAGATAGTCGTAGTGTGCCTAAGAGTTTGTCTCTGCTGATCTTCATTCCCAATATCTGCTTTGTTGTGCCTAGGTCCTTCATGTCAAACTCACTCGACAGCTGCTTCTTCAGCTTCTTGATCTCTCTCATGTCTGAGCCGGCCACAAGCATGTCGTCGACATATAGGAGCAGGATGATGTAACTCTTGTCAAACTCTTTGACAAAACAACAATGATCAGCATTGCACCTGGAGTAGCCGTTCATGTGCATGAATCCATCGAACTTTTTGTACCATTGACTTGGAGCTTGTTTTAGGCCGTACAAGCTCTTCTTCAATCTGCATACCATCTTCTCTTTTCCCTTCTGAGTAAACCCCTCTGGCTGCTGCATATATATCTCTTCCTCTAGATCACCGTGGAGGAAAGCTGTCTTTACATCTAGCTGCTCGAGATGTAGATCTTCAGCTGCAACAATACTCAGGACTGTTCTGATGGTAGTCAGTTTGACTACTGGAGAGAAGATCTCTGTGTAATCAACTCCTTCTCTCTGCTGAAATCCTTTAACCACCAATCTGGCCTTGTATCTCTTGGAACCATCATGTTCCTCTTTGATTCTGTACACCCATTTATTGCTCAAGGCCTTTTTCCCCGTTGGTAGCTTCGCAAGTTCCCATGTCTTGTTGGTGTTCAAGGATTTTATTTCATCTTTCATGGCGAGCTCCCACTTGCTCGCATCATCCACTCGAAGGGCCTCATCATAACTTTCTGGCTCTCCACCGTCACTCAAAAGTAGGTAATTGAGATGATCTCTTGGCTGTAGTGATGGATACTTAGGATTGGGCTTGGGAACTCTAGCTGACCGCCTCAACTCTCTAACGGGCGAAACAGTCTCTCTATCTTCATCTGCCCCCTCTGAAGTGGTCTCATCCATCATCTCTTCTTCTTCATCAGAACTAGCTTCGGGATTGCCTCCATCTGAGGCATCATCTGACTCGAAATATGTAGGATCACTCTGCATCGAGCTAGTGGGCTGAACTGCATCACGGTCTTTGTAGAGGACTGATTCGTTAAAGACCACATCCCTGCTTCTGATGATTTTCTTGTTCTGCTCATCCCAGAACTTGTAGCCAAACTCATCGCCGCCATAGCCAACAAAGAAACATTTTAAGGACTTAGGATCGAGTTTGCTTCTAGCATGATCACTCAGATGTACATATGAAACACATCCAAATACTCTCAGGTGAGAAATGTTTACCTGCTTTCCACTCCATACTTCTTCAGGTATTTTGTGCTCCAAAGGCACTGATGGTCCCCGGTTGATCAAGTAGGCAGCTGTGTTGACTGCTTCTGCCCAGAATTGCTTTGGAAAACCTGCTTGTAACCACATACTTCTGGCTCTCTCAGTCAATGTTCTGTTCATGCGTTCTGCTACGCCATTCTGCTGGGGTGTACCTGGCACTGTCCTCTCTAATCTAATGCCGCTGTCATAACAGAACTTCTTGAACTCTGAGTCTTCATACTCGCCGCCGTTGTCAGAACGAAGCTTCTTGATCTTCAAACCGGTCTCGTTCTCAACCATAGCCTTCCATCGCTTGAAGACTTCAAACACTTCTGATTTGTGTTTCATGAAATAGACCCAAGTCTTCCTCGAGTGATCATCTATAAAGGTCACGAAATATAACCTTCCGCCGGTGGATGGAACTGATGCTGGGCCCCACACATCTGTGTGAACTAACTCAAGCTTCTCTTCTTTAGGAGTTCTGCCAACCCTTTTGAAGCTTATTCTCTTTTGTTTCCCTAGAATGCAGCTTTCACATAGGTCAATTTCAACCGATCTCAAACATGGTAACTTCCCGTTCGATTGCATAACCTTTAGGCCTTTGCTACTCATGTGACCTAGCCTCTGGTGCCACAAATTTGGGTCTTCACTGCCTTCAGCCACTGCAATGGAACCTCGTGCATCTATCGTCATGTAGAGAGATCCTGTCTTCGTACCACGGGCAACAACCATGGATCCCTTTGTAACCTTCCATGTATCACATGCAAAGGTTGATACATATCCCTCTTTCGCCAATTGTCCTATGGAAATCAGATTTTTCCTCAAGCTAGGAACATGTCTCACATCACTCAGCTTCCATGTAGACCCATTGAGCTTGATTTGCACGACTCCTTTGCCAACAATATCACAAGGCTGATCATCACCAAGATAGACTTTTCCTAGGTTTCCTGAAACGTAGTTCTCAAATAAATCTCTATTTGAGGTAGCATGAAACGAAGCTCCTGAATCCAGCACCCACGATTCCGTTTTGCTCTCCAACGAACAGATTAGGGCATCATCTGATTCTCCTGAGGCCACGTTCGCTTCAGTCTTGTTCTCCTTGTCTTTCATGGGTTCTCGGCACTGATTTTCATAGTGGCCAAACTTGCCACAATTCCAGCAGTCTATCTCCTTCTTGTCCTTGCGGTTCCTGGACTTTGGCATTCCGTTCCTCGAGTTAGATCTTCCTCGGCTACTCCCTCTATTTCTGTTTCTTCCTCTGCCTTCAAGATTCAACGCCGACCCTAAATTA